GGATTTAGCTTGACCTCTGTGGGATACATTTGTCTTCATTTGACTTGTTTTGAACTCCATATGCTTATGCACACACATTTTTTCCCCCACATTTTGTAATGATACAGCCACACACTTCGGTGTCTTTTATTTAGTTTGTGGGATAGAACAGCACAAAGGAATGAATAGTTGTAAAGTGGAAGGAAAGCAGATTGAGAAGTATTTTTAAAATAAAGCTTAAAAGTGTGACTTTTTATGTATCTAGCAACTTTGCACATCCAGAGACTCAGTTTTGCCCATTCGTCAGGACAACTTTTCCAGAATAAATGCTATTTTAGTTTCGCCTTTGAAGTTGTTAATGCTTGTCTTGGTACATGTGATTTGGGGATTAATGTATATCCCTACTTTCATAGGGACTGTATTTTTCTTGCACAAATCCCACACTGAAGAAATTAAATTGCCATCTTTTTCTTTCATTTTGACACACCTATCTTTTGAAGGTAAACCAAAGCTAATCCAGAGAAAGCTCTGATAAGTCTTAACTTCTGTAACTATGGGAACTGGATTTACATACCTTTACTCTCTGTAGTCTGAGTTTGTAATTTAGAGAAGGTGGGTTTTGGTTGTTTTTTTGTTTTATTGAGCTTGGAGTCGCCTTCTCAGTTATTCCAGACGGCGGAACTGCAGGCAACGAGGTTGAACTGTGTATCTTTTAGATAATCGAGACTGTAGAAAATCATTTACACAAAAGGTGAATTTTTTTTTTAAATGTTTATTGCTGTGGTCTTTTTTGGTGCTTTTTGTGTGTGCATGTAAACCATTTTGACCACTGCAAAGATATGTGCCAGAAAGCAGAATAAAATTATGAAGGGATTCTGTTCGTATTTCATTTATATGTAAAAAGGAAACAAACAGGTTCTTAACAGCAGTAATTACTTTCTGAATGTTTTACAGTGATTATCACCTTTCCGAGAAGCACGTAACTTTTTCGGCTGTGATTGGACAAGATTTTAAAGTCTATTTTGTTGCTTTTTCAGGTCATTTAGTATGCAGGAGGCCCTAGCAACCATAGGGGAGAAGCTGTGTGTTGAGCTGAGTCACTGTTTAAGCCAGCATGGCTTCTCCTCATTCTCAGCTGAGAGCAAGAGCGCTCTTAAGGGGCAGATCTCAGCCATCATCCAGCCAGACAACACAGTCCGTAAGCTGATGGGTACGGAGGCGCTCCTGGTTTCGTGTCTCTATTTGCTGATTTATGCTGCTTTTTTGCTGTGACCAAAGATCCCTCCTTCTCCCCCACCCAGACTCTCGGATTCAGAGCTACCTAATGGCTGCCCTGGAGTCCAGTCAACACAAGACGCCGCCTCCTCTCCCCGGAGGCCTGGCGCCGGTCAGCAGAGAACTAAAAGAGCTCTCGATCCGCTTCAGTCGCCTGGTCAACTACAACAAGCTGGTCTTCTCTCCGTTCTACCAGAAGATCCTGCAGAATATACTGACACCGGGGGAGAGCTCCGGCACAGAGACATAAACCCCCACAGATACGGAGGAATATCAGAGTGAAGAGTGGTCTGTGGTTTCTTTTTTCCCTCATTAGCAACGGTTTGGATGTAGAGATAAACGTTTAGGAGGCTGATCTTTAAGCTGGGAGGCAAGCCAGCCCTGCTGAGCGAGCACCTTCAACTGACTTGATTAAAACAACAACCATTTCACTTACATGTACTAACGCAGTGTTGTTTCTTCACTGAAATATCAGACCTCATAAGTGTCACATTTGCAGTACCTATGTGTACATTAATTTATTAAGCATAGCTGCCAGGAATGGATAACTTAACTCAGTATTGCAGTTGCCGTCACCGGGAACAGTACGACATATACATCTGTACAAAATTATTCACCTCTCTTGAATTGTTACACGCTTAGTCTCTTTGTAACCACACACTTGAAAACGGTACATTGGAATTTTCTTTGATAGACAAACACAAATTAGTGCGTATTTGGGAAGTGCAAGTGAAAGGATATGTGGTATTACCATTTTAAGCAAATACTTGAAAAGTGTGGAATGCGTTAAGACCATTTGTTCGAATGCTTTCTAAATATTCCGTCTACTGGGGTATGTTTGTTGCAGGTAGCATGTAGAGAATAAAAGTTTTCTGCTAATTCTTTGCAAAATAGCTAAAAATCAGACAAACTGGTGTTGAAAATTGATGTCAACATCAATTTTCAATTAGTGCAGTGTGTAACGAGTTTTCTTCCAATATTGCCCTGTATGTATTTTCATCCATGAGCTGTCTTTGTGGAATAACAACATCAGCCGAGCATGATGCTTCCACCGCCATGTTTTACAGTATTTTGAGAGTAATATTTAGCTTACACGCAAATGTGAAATGGAAGTTTTTATGGCTTTTTTTTAACTACAGCTTTCTTCTTTCCACACTTCCATAAAGTTCCAGGTTTGTTGTTTGAGAACATTGTATACTGTATATGTATTTAAATGTTAAAAATTATCAATATCTGAGTTACTTACTTCTTTGTACTTTTTTGGATCTCTCTAAGATACGTTAGTCGACCTTTACAGATAAATAAATGTAAAAGGAATAGCAGAGACTCAATGGTCCAATAAATAAACTGTAAGCCAGATGATCTTAAAAATTATATTTAAGAACATAAAAATTCCACATATAGTCTTGCCTAAAGTTTTTGTGTCTGGAGGCTGGAAGGCTTCCATCAAGATCTCCAAGTACAGAAACTATAATCTCCTCAAAATATAAAGGGTGGGAGTGAGTCTATTGACTCCTCAATTTATTCAGAGAACAAGTTTTAATGTTTTTAAATGACAACAAAGCAAAGGATGGATATAGACTCAATCCAATTCATTGAAGGGAACTATGGAATTAAGGGCCAATTGTGGTTTTCAGTATTACTCAGTTTTAGTTCCAATTTAATTATATTCACTCATTGTTAACTTATTGTTGATATTTTCAGATGTTCAGCATATTTTCCTGACAGTCTGACAGTTATTTATGTTTATGTTTGAGTCTAAAATGTATTTGTATCAATTTACCACATTTTTCTGTTTGCTGCTGTTCTCATACATCACACACTGATTATTTTTGACTCATTTGTCTTAAGGTGGAAATTGGATGTTCCAATAAAGCGTAGCTTGCCCTCACATTAATAAGTCTCTCTCTTTTTTAATATCCTTATAAATCCTTCATCTGCCAGAGATATCATCCTTAATATAATACACTGGAAGATAACTGTTTCTAACACCAACAAAATTAAAATTGTAATAAAGGATGGAGTTGCGTAATACGTTCAAGTTGTTTGCATGTAACGCACCTGTGGGCCGGCAGATGGAGCCAGAGCTCCAATTTAAAATCGTTTAAAAAACAAAAACTTCCAAAATGCTCCTTTTGTTACTTTTACTTTTAAGTTTTAACTGCAGTGAAAAAGTATTGTCAGTTTTTATTGCATATTACCTTAAATCAGTTTGCTCATAAGCAATAATATAAGAAGAGCCCATGCATGATGCCATAAAATGCATAAGAATGGATGTGAGCCAAATTTGTTTCATAATTCTGCATGTGTACTATCCCATCCTGAACTGGCTCCATTATAAATTGTCTCTGATTATCTTTTAAACAGCAGCTTTGCCAATAAACCAGAGGAGTTGGAACTTTTTTATGCCATATTTTTTTCATTAATGCCTATACTATTAATGGTTTTGCTGTAATGCCTCCAAAAGAAATTGGATGACCAAAAGGATTGTACTTTTATTTGGGGAAAAAGTGATTGAGAAGATTGTGCAATGTATAGATGTGCATAATTTCAATAGGCCCATGTTATTAGTCATTGCTACTCATTATTTGTGCACTCATTTGTTGTGGTAATTGTTTTCCCACAACACCCTTATAGTATTCGCTGAAAATTAATCCAGATATGATTAGAAATTGTTTTAGATTCTGTTTTGCTTAAACCCTAATCAAGTTCTAAGTCACAAAGATGATATAGAATGAACTCCTGAAGTGTGAACCTATCTTTAAAAGTTGTTTAACATCAGCCCAGAAACCAAGGCAATTCCCAGGAGGAAAAAATCCCATCTGTCTATGCCTTTGTAAGGATAAGTAGGTTTAGAAAATGGAAATGAGACAAATATTGGGCTATTTGGCCCACAAATGTGAAAAATGTTTGAAGAAGTCAAGATAATTCTTTCATGAGCAGGGACACTGTAACAACTGTCAAACATGATGTTTGTAGTCTCATCAAATGAACTGTTTATTGCTGTTGGTGCATTATTAAAAGTGGTGAGAATAATAAATTCTTACACAAAACAGCTAGATGGTTACAGTCTGACATCAGTGTGTTTCAAAATAACAATGAGCCCAAGCACAAATTAGAACAAGTTATAATTTTAAGACTTTTCAATATTAGAAAATGTCAGATTTTTCTCATGAAAATGTCTGATATTATTATGTGAATGTTTTTTTTTCTTAATCTGAAATATCTAACATTGATATTCTGTAGCTACAAAATGTGAGCATAAATAGAGCAAATAATAATAATAATAATAATAATAATAATAAACTTCTCTAACACAGAAACAAAAATTAAAACAAACCGTTTTATGCCTTTAAATCCAAATATCAATATCATGTTATATATGCTGTTTTAAAAGCACTCAGCTAACTACTGACTATTGAGTATTGAGGTAATTTTAGTGCATGGCTATATACTTCTGTCTTTATCTATCACGCTCTGTGAATTAGATACAAATGGAATATTAAAACAGGTGCATTTATTTTTTGGTTTCTAAAACGCCATACAAATTGCTAGTAGTGGTATAATTTCACTCGAAGCAAGAATGCCTCCAAAATGATTAGAAACCCACAATTAATATGACAGCCTGTATGTAAACTTATGACTGCAGTTAGCTCATGGAAGTTTAGAAATGTTTTGACTCGCCGTCAGTGTGACTCACAGCACTTTTACTCCTCCTCCTCCCCTCCCCAACATTCCACACATGCGGAGAAGCAACAAGCTACCGAACCAGCAGCAACAAGCTAGCCGCCAGCAGCTAACTCGGTCGGGGGGACGAGGCGTGTTAACATGCAAAAGTTTAGAAACTTCGATATTCGCCTCGACTAGACACGATATTAACGTTTAGTGAGACCCAAGACGGCCCTCTAAAACATGGACCATAGTTCGTTTTTGTAAATGCTGTTGTTTTTGCGTGGCTTGGAGCTTCAAATGTGCGAAAAGTCGCTCGGTGTGTCCTCCTCCTCGTCGTTGAACAAGATGGCAGCAGCAACAGCAGCACCGTTACAGAGTTTGGCTGTGGTGCGGGTGTTCGTTGCTAGCCTGCTCTTTGACACTTTGAGTGATGCGATTTTCTGGTCTTACTGAAGGTATGTGGTTCTATCTCTTTAAAACTATAGCCGAATACACTTTCCGTATTATATTTGTTGATGGGAACCGTTGTTTTAAGGTCCGTAGGACTTCGCTCGTAGCTAGCTTGTTTGCCAACTTCAGTGTTATCTTTTCATAGACCGTTACCATTGAAGGTTAACCAGTTTACTCAAAACGGTTTCTTTTAATTCAAGTAAGTGCTAATTTCTTGAGTTATATTTTAGCTATTGTTTGCTTGTAGTTGTGTGTATTTTTTAAATGTTAAAAATACTTTAAGTAATTGCTAAACAGAAAGTAAAATGGGCTTCGTTTGTTTATTGAAATGAACTCGAAATGGGTTCCCCCACACACCATCAGACAGCTATTATTTATGGTTGTGTGACAAAAGCACTTTCAACAGGTGTCTTGGTGGGGAGTTGCCCATCCCCCAAACTCGCACGTACTGACGGAGACACACACACACACGCAAACACACACTCCCCTTCTCCTCCCATATGTCAACTGTCACTTAGATTGATCTGTAGTAACTGTGAGGTGTTGTACACATTTACCAAAAAAACGCCAGCTGAACCCACGGACATGTATACACACTTCTGCATTTGTGTTTGTTTGCCCTCTGTGAAGCTGGATCTCTATTTCAGGCCAATCCCCTGGTATATCAGGCTACACAGTTTGGCAGGAGGTGTAACAGACAAGACTGTCCCTCAAAAGACTGAAAGCGAGCACAGCATGGATGACATATTTACACCACGCCAGCCCCATGATGGTCTCTCGTCTGCTGTGGTGGCCGAAATTCTTTGTCAGTTGCATCATTAACTTATTAACAGTGTTTGCTTGACTTGCAGTTGTGGGTGGTGATTGGGCGTAGTAGTTTCCAACAGTGCATAACTTGGTCTTTGCTTACCCATGAAGAGGGGTAATTATATTTGTAGAAGATGTCGGCTGCTGGAATTGTAATTAGAGAGCTTTCGGTGTGCTTATGGAGTTAGTTAAAACTCACTTGCTTTGCTTGTCACAAGAAAAAGAGGTGTGCTCCTTGTAAAGCTGGCTAAGAGGCACACCTCACGGCTTGCCTGCCTGAGCCTGTGTGCACAAGCAAAGCTAGTTTGGTAGTCCACTGTCTCATTGTTGAGCTGATTTTTATTTTTTATTTTTTATTTTTCCCTTTAAATTGACCGATTTCAGGAATGTTCATGTGACATTTGATTGAGCCTGAAACGTGAAGTCTTCCGAGTCGTAAGTCCAGGCAGGCACAATCTGTGTCTCTGCTTGGGAACTTTCAGGAGGTGTGGCTGTTGAACTGATTCTCTGCCAGTGTTCAGCTTGTTCACATGGTCCAGCAACTTTCTGCAGTGAGAGGAGTGCTCCTCTCATTGCATAATTTTCATATTGTGTATTTGGCTTTTTTTAAAAATTACACAGGTGCAGCAGTTTCCTTGCAGAGATGAGTCAGCCAGTTGCTCTGATCAGCAGGTCAGATACTGAAGAATCTGTCTTTTCTGTTCTTTGAAGGAGTCAAATCAGAGGTCGTGGTCTTAGTTCTAACCCAGCTGACATTCCTAGCACCATAAACATATCCATTATTTCTTACAGCTTCTCCTTTTGAATCTACACACAGAGAGAGTATTTGTGCCTAAAAGGATTAATTTTGTAAATAATAATAATCTGTCTTCTAATTTCTAAAAATGCAGAATTTGGTACAATTTCTTAACCTTGTCCCACACACTTTCATTGAACACGTTTAGAGAAGTATACTATAGTATTGTATCAATAAAATGTAATATGACAAAATTCATTTTATAGTATTAGAAATTACCATGGGTTGTTTTTGCTCCGAAATAATTTCCACTGAAAAAATGCAAACCTAATTTCACTATTTTGTTCTTGTTGTGAGTTGACTTTAATGGAGATAAATTGATCTGAATTTAGTAGTCAATTCCCGATCGTGGGTATTAAAAAGAAAAGCATTTAAATCAAAATTTTTTTTTTTGTTTTTTTTTTTTTTTTTTTTTTGCATCACCAGCATTACTTAATCAGCAGTGTCTTTTAATATGTGCGGCAATTGATAGCGTAAAGGTTAGTTTTGTTTTATTTTATTTTATTTGTCCAGCCAGTTCCTCAGTGCATAGGAACTGACTGTTAGATTTAGAGGCACAGTTTTTTCATTGTATTGCTTTGTTTTAACTTAGTAAAAGTCATGTTGTTGTGACCATACACTGAAATTCCTGACAAATAGTTAGTATAATAGTTAGTATATAATAGTTAATAATAGTTTTTTCTTTCTCTAATAGGTTTTGTTTTTGTTTTTTATCCCTAGCCTCCTGAGAACCGAAGAAAAAAAGTGTCTTCAAATTTCTGTTTTTTTGTGTGATTTCCTACCTATTTAGGCCAAAATGAACACCTTAGCATTTTTTTAATATATATTTTTTTTAAATTTTACAGCATGTCCATCGTAGTGGACATCAGGACTATTTATTAATTATTTATATTCTTATTCTATAAATAATTATCATGACAAAAATAAAAGAAAAAAAATATTTCACTCGTCTACCCTCTTTCCATAAGATGTGGTTTCTGGCAGGTAGGCCATTTTGATTTAGGAAAAAAGGGACTTCCCGGTATGCAAACCTATCACATGACACATCCCTGGAAAGCCCAGGATGTCCTCTAAAGAGTACTGTAGGGCTAGAAAGGGTAACTCAAAGTATGAACAAAAAATAAGCTTCAACAAAATGTCCATTATAATGGACATAGGTCTATGGGCCGGTTCTCAGGAGGCTAGACATTTCACACAACGACACTGAGAAATGTGTTGTCCATAATGGCATCATCCAACATAATTTGCTCATATTTTTTTGGAATTTCATGAAAATAAATTTATAGACAAAGTACATTGAAACTAAATGGGTATATTGTGGTTATTCCTCATTTTTCTGTTGAAATCAAAGTAGATTCTTTATCCAAGAACCCAGAGAACATTTTTTTCTTTTGTTATAGCTCCTAGATTAAGAGGCTCAGGCTATAAGGACAACTGGCAAATCTGTACTGTAGCGAGGTAAACATTGATCGTTACGTCTTTACTTATAAAGCTTTGTGGCCATAAAAATCTTTGTTTGAAGAACCAGGTTGTGCTGTTTTCTTTATCTTAAAAACTCCAGTTTCTTAGCATGAACACACCAAAAGTTATAGAGAGGGAGTTAAAATTTGATAGATGCTTCATTGCACATTCACTTGAGATTTTGAAATGGGGGAGAAATTAGTCTTTCTATTGTAACAGTGGAAAGTCACCAGGTTGCATCACTTTAGCTGTTGCATTGTTCAGATATTACTTCTGCATTTGACAATTTTTTTTGGTCTCCAACACGTCAAGTTAAAATTGTTGTCCTGAAAAGGTCAGATAGCGACTTTCTCTTCATAGTTTTTGTATCTCGCCTTCATTTTAAAGAGCAACACAAAAGTCTTTTCATATAATCGGTACATTTGTAAAGATGCCGCAGAGGTGGAGAACACTCATCCCACTTCATAATGTATCATTTTTCCCTCTGGGGTGCTGATTGCTATGTGCCGTTGGTTTGTGTGAAACTGACCCTGCTGTGTGGCGTGCAGGGACTAGCCATACATGTGCTGGGCTTCCCCCATCTCCAATTACAGAAGACTTGTTCCCTTTTCCAGTAAGAGAAGGCCGCCATTTATTTTTGCTTTGGTGGCTTTTATTATGGCTTTTTTTTTTTTTTTTTTTTAAGCCCACAACGTATCTCTGAAGATAGTAGGAGAAAAGGTGACGTTTTGAGTTTCACCACTTCCTTTTTCTGAACACTAATCTCAGGCAAACTTGAGCTTTTGTATCGTAAATGTTTTAAAATGTGTAAAAAAAAAAAAAAAGCTAATAAATGCATTTTTCTTTTAAGGTATGGCCTCACAAGCCTTGGTCTACCCATCACACCTGCACTCAGCTCAAACAAGTGCCTTAGGAAAGAGCAGCAGTGGTACCAGCAGACGCACAGGTGAAGTCCACCGCAGTAATAACACCAGCAGAGCCTTTGAGCATCGACCCCCGCTCAAGACATATGTGATTGGAATCAACTACGGTATTGCATTTCCCAACAACGTTATCCCGTCCTCAACTGTTGCTGACTTAGGAAGGGTGAACAGGGGGCAACCGGTTGGGGAAACGGAGCAGTGGACTTTGCAGACTGCAGGGATACAGCAAGCAGGACCGGCTGAGTGCCAGGATCAGCCGACTGTTGACCAAAGTTTTGAGAGGGAAGGCGGAGGTTTGGACTGCGGGCTTCTTGCTACAGCCTGTTTAGGAGCAGAGTGGGAGGAGGCTAAAAACAAAAGAGCACAAGTTAGAGGAGGTTATATTGGCCTTCTTGACTCAGGTGTCCCCCAGGTATGTGAGGAGAAGACGCGTGAAGGTGGGGAACAACAGCGGGAGAGTAACCGCATCAGAACCATGCAGATAGTGGAGGACGTACCTGCTCTGCCGTCACTTCCTCTACCTGTGGCCATGTTGCAGACCAGCACTGGGAACAATGCAGACACTGTTCGAGTCGGGGGCGGGGGAACTCTGACGGCTCAACACAGCAGGGTTGATGAGGTGACCGGCCTCGGCGTGGGGGTCGGTGGGACTGAAACCAGCACCAATGGCAGTAATGAGGTTGTGGCAGGTGCCACTGTAAACAGAAATGGATCAGGAGATGGTGACTATCAGTTGGTTCAGCATGAAGTCCTTTACTCGCTGAAGAACAGCTACGAGGTTCTGGAGTTTCTGGGTCGGGGAACCTTTGGTCAGGTGGTGAAGTGCTGGAAGAGGGGGACAAACGAAGTGGTGGCCATCAAAATACTGAAGAACCACCCATCCTATGCACGCCAAGGACAGATCGAGGTGAGAATGTTAAACACTTAGTAATTTTTGACCATAAAATGTGTTATAGCAATTTTAATAGCATTTTAATCAAATTTGGTTCTCTAATTGGCAGGTGGAGATCTTGGCTCGGTTGAGCAGTGAAAATGCAGAGGAGCACAATGTGGTGCGCGCTCTGGAGTGTTTTCAGCACCGCAGCCACACCTGCTTAGTGTTTGAAATGTTGGAGCAAAACCTCTACGACTTCCTGAAGCAGAACAAGTTCAGCCCACTGCCTCTTAAAATCATCAGGCCTATTCTACAGCAGGTAAGAAGGGCCTCTTTTGGAGAACTAAATGGCAGCCAAAGATGCACCAGTCAGGCTTTTACCTGCTGATACAGGTTGATGTTTTTTATTGGAGTGTGTCCTGCAGGGGCAGGCTTTGGCTCATTTGGATTTCTTTTTTTTTCTCTCAAAAATGCAGTAAAGCTATTTAAGCTGAGCAGGTATGCTGATGTGTTTACAGACCAAAAAACACAAAGTTTTAGTTTTGAAGTTTAATTAATAGAAGGCAGAAAGCATTTAGTTTTGATAAATTTGAGCTGCATTTCAACAGTGGAAAAAACTGATCAAGAATAAAATGGCAAATTTAGGTTTTTAGTTGACTATTTGATGCATCATTTATAAAATCTGGTAATGCACCAATCAGAGGCCTATTTTTTCTGGTTTCAAAACTACTACATCCATTGAAATGCCTGCAGCACATTTCTTTGCTCTTGGCCTTGAAAGAAAATAATATATTAGCACAGCCTTCAAAAAAAAAAAAACAAAAAAAAAAAAACAGAATCTGTATCAGCCAGATTTTTTTTCAATTGTACTTGCTGTAAGCTAAGAATGACGCACATAATTTATCATGATTAAAAAAAAAATCTTCCAATTGCTCAACAATTTTCTTTATATCTTGGTTTGTCTCTCCAGGTGGCAACAGCCCTAAAGAAGTTGAAGGATCTGGGTTTGATCCATGCTGACTTGAAACCAGAAAACATCATGCTGGTGGATCCATCCAGGCAGCCATACAGAGTCAAAGTCATTGATTTTGGTTCAGCCAGCCATGTCTCCAAGGCCGTGTGCTCCACTTATCTTCAGTCCAGATACTACAGGTAAGAACAGCCGACTGTTAATGCCCTGAAACACTTGGGATACGCCCAGTAAAGGGTGAAGACTGTGCTGGTTATTACTGTATGATTCACTGGTCTCTGTTCATCCAAGTGACTGTTATCCAAGGCCACTCAGTTCAAATGTTTTCTGATACAGCCCACATTTATTAAAGTAGAAAGGGCAAGTTGGCTTCTGGAAATGACTCGGAGCCGAAGTGACAACATAAAGTATGCCCAGAAAGGAGGAGTAGGATCATTTAAGAAAGGTCAGCTTTTCCGTAATGTGAAACGTCCTAAAATCTGTCATGATAACTTGCCAGTGTACCAGTCTGAGCCATTCCCACGGCTAATACTTGTTTATGTGCATGTTTCCCACAGGGCTTAGGAAAGTCTTTCCTCAGTGTCGGTGTGTTCAGACCTCTCCTCTAATATAAACTGGACTGTATTGACCTGCATGCTCTGACTGGCAGTTTCCTGACAAGACTTTCACTTTTTGTTCTTTGTTTGCCATCTCTCTACGTTCTTTTCTGCATGAATGCATATTTTCTATCTTTATCTCCAAGTGCATTCTTCCAGTTCATCACACCCTAATTTCTGCTCCTAGTCTTTATGATCAAGGGCAATCAAAGTATCTATAAGGACTGTCATACAAGGCGTGATATCCTGCTTATGGGTTAGGCTTTTAAACGTCATCAAACATTGTTGGGCAGAAAATGTCATTACATTTTAAGCCTGAAGCTTATAAGCTCATATTTTGACGCACAGTAAATTGAGCCCCGGGTTTAATTAAAAATAAATGAGACTATAAAAAGCAAAAAAAAAAAAGAAAGAAAGAAACATAGTTTTGCTATTGGATTCTTTCCATTTTGAAATGCGTTGTAAAATTTTTGTTGGTGTTGCATGTTTATTGAGGCCTAAAAATATTTGAAAGTCAAAGTATTTTCCTAATTAACCACACAGCAATAGGCTGGAAATTTAATTTATCTGTATTCCTGCTTGGACATTTCACCAACTGTTCCAGTGAGGCCTCGGAAAGTCTGCAAACATTGCACAATCTATTACACATGCGGAGAATGTCGACAGCAAACGCACAGCACACACCCTGTGCTCCCCTTTTGACAGCGCTGCTTTTATTACTGTGTAAGGAAGAAAGCAGTTCCTCTGTTGTTCTAACTTAAATTTCTGCTAGTTTTGATCTGATAGGGACTTGAAATTGAGACCTTCCTGCTCTGATGCAACTTCTGTTGAGCTAAAATCTAAAGCGTCAATGCTTGCAGCACTGAAATACCATCAGCAGTGGTGTGGGGAAACTTCCTTATTTTGTTAGCATGAGCAGGTCTCTCTCTAGACCTTCCTCTTTTTGAGTGCTGAGGCTTAGTGTGGCACATAGCTCTTATGTAACATGAAGGATTTACTCTGCATTTGACCTGGCTAAGTGCGTATGAGTGTGCGCTCATACGTGTCTGTGCGCGTGTGTTTGCGTGTGTGTTTTTTGACTTAAGCTGTGTTGGCAACACTGAGATCATAGTTCAGTTAAAAACAGGCTGGCACTGAGACTTGGGGAGGTCACTGAGGACACAAGAGGCTAGGGAAGAATGTGGTTTATGAAAACCCCACATTTAGATCCAGGAAAAAACATTCTGGCATTCCTGCCTTGGTGTTTGTGTTTTTGGGTGTGTTCATATGTCTGAGTTGACGCAGAGAATGAAATAAATGGGCTCGCCGTGCCTGTTGCATACTGGATCCTATTATTTTTCCCATTAAATAATGTCCGATATGATAAATGCCTTGTTTAATATCAGAAAATTTCACTTTAAACTACCAAAATGATTGTGACATGTGTAAGCTACATTAAACTATTAAGGTTCACAAACTAGAGGTGCATCGATTGCAGTTTTCTGGCCAATTGCAGATGACCGATTTTTAGAAAGCCTGATCTGCTGATTCCAGTTTTGGCCGTTACCATCTTTTTTTTGTCTGAAATGTCAGTAAATACAGCAAGAAAGTCACTGAGTTTGCAACAGTGGGGCGACTGTTTTTAACTGCAAATGTGCAGACATGACCCAGTGGTTTGTCAGTCAATCAAACCTCTCACGAGAAAGCAGGAGAGAACAGTGGTTGATTTTTATACCTTTGTTGAGGTAGATAAGATCAGATCCACATGTAATTATCAGTTGAGTTCCCAAAATTAAGGAAATCGGCACCGATAAATTGGCTGGCTGATAAATAGGTGCACCTCTATTGCAAACCAAACACTTTCATAATGAACTAATATATTTTACAGCTACTACTAAAATTTGATAAAACTAGAAATGTGAACTTTCTGAACTCTAATAAAGATACTAAGTGAACTCCTATACACATCTAAGATGTGAAAAATATAAAAATTTTGCCTGTCCAAAATTAGATGTAACAAATGTGACAAATCCTTTTTTTTTTTTTTTTCTTCTTTCTGTATGCGACCCATACAGAAAAAACAATCCAAATCGGCTAGATATTTGATTGTTTTCAAAGTATCTACATCCTTTCTTTCATGTAAACACTGACATATCAATAGGTACTTACCCACCTATATTTTTTATTTTCAAACCGTTTCAACTGTTGAGGTCTAAAATCATTTGTAGTTTGGAGATTCTAGGAAAAGACAGGCTTGGAATGTGTTATTTTGATAAGACCTAAGAGGTCCAGCAAAGATATTTCAAAGCGACCTGGTAGAAAGCAGTTCTTGCCTCTGAAGGGTCAAATTTGAGCCGTTTGTACTAAAATATTTTCACCGGAGAAGTAACGTGTTGACACTTGGTAACCGGTTGTCATTCATCTTGTTTCAATTTTTACAATGTTGATGGTGTCTTGTTGTTATCTGCTGGACTTTGTACTCGTCTGTGTTTTGTTTTTATGAAAGGGTGACTTTATGCATGCAGAAACCGATAGTGCTTGCTTTGTTGTTTAGTTCTGGGAGGTAGAAGTCCATATTCTTCTCACATGCAAGACAAACTGTTTTAGTTGTCATTTTACTTTAGGTTATTTAAACATTGGATGGCTAGGAAAAGGGGTTTGCATGATACAATGTTCTGGTGAGCATCTGAACTTTGTTGCATGATGAAGGTTCACACAATGCAAGTCTCAATGCAGTGAGGCTTGGAACACTTCTTACTTCATTTTCTTTCTTTTTCAACTAATCTGGGGTTTTCCCTGGTTTTTCCAGAACTATTTATTCAGGCAAAGGTTTTGAACACACTCATTAAAGCTCAAATGCGAGTTCGAAATGTAAACTGAAATTTAAGTGGGCGCTTGCAACCTTCACTAGTTTTTATGGTTCTTTTGAAGTATCTAGGACATGTATTTATGGTTAGAAAATATTTTAAGTGAACAATACATAGTTTTCCTCTGGTAGTGTCTAACAATGGATACGTCATCAGCACAAACGTTGTGCTTTCCAATTATGGATCTGTTTTCACTGGTTAATTTGTGCAGCTCTTCAGTGGTTACTGTTATTGTTAACCATACTGTGGTTCTCTTCCGTATTAAACTAGAGCTTACAGCAACAGTAAATTTACCCGATTGCTTTATTATAGGGTTGAGCAATAGGATAATAGCTAATGGAGGATTATAGGGATCCTACAAAGTTTGGAAAGAAGAGAATTAAAATATTTTAAATGTTGGGATAGGTGTGGATATTGAGCTTTGAGCACTTAAAGCGGTGAGACAGACCACAGTTTGAAAATACAGTACTATCATACCTTCTTTCCATTCTGTCTTTTCTTATTGGATCTTTTCACCTACCTGCTCACCGATCCTTTCCTCTCCATTCTTTCCTCACTGCTCTTCCATATTTTTTCTTTATACCCTGACCACTCTAGAAATATCAGCTAAAATATTCAATAATTGTTGACTTATATTTCAAGTGTTATGAACTTGCATACTAATTCATTATCCAGCCAATTGGACAGAGTCTTGTGGCAGCAGATGCTCACATCAGACACAAATTATGTTGCCCACAATGCTCCAGGTCACACAGTGATTGAAGGTAGATGAGAAACAGGGGAAAGAAGAAAAAGTCAGATATTGCAACTGATATTTACCATTAACACCATTCCTAAATTTTTTAAAATCGTGTTGCCCTACCATTGATGTACTGCTTCTTTTTTTGTTTGTTGTATAGGCTGTTCAAGATTGTTTTTGTCCTTTTACTTTAATTGCATCCAATAAATGACATTTTACACAAGCAGTGCTTTCATTTGAAATACTGCTTTTAGTTTGGTTAGACCGCCTGAGACTGAGTGTACTTCAAGTTGTCTGTCTTAAATGTCAGTTGTGCTTAACAAAAGTTAGTAAAATTGAACAAACTATAAAACTTGTTCAAAATGTTTAATGACCTAAATCCTTTGTAAGGTCTACCTCTTATGTCGTGAAAAACTGATAAAACTGAGTGTGATTTTCTTTATGCTTTGTAAAAATGGTAATATACTTTAATTTCAGGGCCTGTCCCTTCTTCATCCTTAAGGGTTTTTTTTAGCAGTTGATGTTTACCAGAAGAAAAACTCCAACTTCTACTTTGCTGTTCTTGTGAAGTTATGATGGAAATTTATGAAGAACCTAATTGGATCCACCTCCCAGAAGAAGACTCCTGTCAGGAACATTTTTGTCCTTTGCACTCATTCCATTCTGATATTTTACATACAGTAAAATCATATTTAAATAATAAAATTAAAACCAATTTTTTTATATGCTTGTTGAAGAAATTTTTTAATCGATCAGGTTTGCTGAATTTACTCCTATGTTTTTTTTAAAGCATTCTAAAAAAAACTTTTAAGCTAGATTTAGGTTATAGCATTTATACAAAGAAAAAAATTCAAAGTTTCCTGTGAAGTTGAAAATCTCAATTTATTGAAGGAGCTTCCTGCTTAGTCTCTGAAGGTAAAAATGCAATAAGCTGGTAGGATCTTGATCCGTTTGCTGAATTGTTTTGTCAGTGTTACTCATCAGGTATAGCGTTGATTTTCAGTGCTCGTCATGCTCGACTGTCGCTGCCATGGTAGCAGGGCTTGATGAGGTGACTCGTCTGTCGCACGGAGGCCAGTGACGTAAAACTACCCACAATGAAAACAGAGCAGAGGCCTTTATTAATAATTAATGTTCAGAGATCAGGTGGAAGAGAAGAAGGCTATCGTCTTTTGCAAGCTGACAGATTTAGACAGGTCGTGTTTAAGCTTTTCGTGATGCGATTTCTTAGTTACAGAGGTGTTTCTTTACTTTTTGTACCTTGTCTCATCACATTAGCACAACAGTATTTCCTCAGCTGTCGTGTAGGCATCCGTTTGTGTGCCAGCCTACGTGTGTTTTCCAAGTATCCTCAAGCAGATTTTTTTCCTTATGAAAAATTCCGAGGAGTGTTTACTCAATATTTCATGCAAAAAAAAAAGTGTTACAGAAAAACACAGGGAAACCTAGAACTTCTTTTTTTTAATTCAGCTTGAAAGTGAAACTGTGGAAAATGATGTTGCAAAGTTTGATTTATGTTGTGGGATCCTGTTTGGTTATGATTGTCAGTGGAGAAACATAATGTGACGCTGGAGCCCTAACAGGCTGCGTTTAAAGTGTGTTTACAGTGCTCAATAATGGAAACATAAGCACTCGCTGGAAGAGGCCTGTTTATGTAACATGTTGGCAGGCTCTCTGCTTTTACTTGCTTTGTCCCCTCCGCCCATCATCCTAAAACTGTCAAGTTTTTCTTTATATTTTTGCTTTTGAATAGCCTCATTTTTTGAGACTTTTGTGCTTATTCCCAGGCATTCATTCAAATCCAGTTTTTCTTGTCGCTCCCAGTCAAACTGTTTTGACTGGAGCATCGAGATTAAAAAAGTCATTCAAACTACTGAGCCCGAAGCTTTGGCGTGGGCATGTTTGCTGGTCATAATTTAATTTGACTGTCAAACTTTTACTGCACAACTCTTAGTCAGGCATCTTCCAATTGCGATATAAATCTGCATGAGCAAGTTTATTTTTTAAGCTCTCAGATGAGATTGAGCTCTGCTTCTTCAGAAATCACAAAGGGGAATAAAAAAAAAGGCTCTGCAATGGAGTAGCACTCCACTGTCATCCATCAAAGATTAAAAGTGGTCAATAATGGATGAGTAACCAGCTTCTCTTTCAGGTCTTTGACAGTTTTAATTTGGCTACTAAGCAGAGGGTTTACATGTTCTGAAAAGAGGAAGCTTTGTAGTGATGCAATGAGGTTTTTCTAGGCCATTTACTAATGTTGTAAAAACAAGGCATATTTAGTGATTATGAACATTTCCATACATCGTTCAAAGATGCTCATTTATGTTCAGATCGACACAAAAATGACCATGTGGTCTCTCTAAGTTATCGTCCTTTGGGAGAGTGCAGCAATAACATTGACACTTGACGTCTCCCATCCCTGCTGCAGCTCACCTGAACATTCATGGCTGAGAATAAAACAAGTTTTTGCTGAATGTTTTAAAACTTCACCAAAATAAGAGCCCAGACTTTCTCAGTATTTAGGTCATGATTTCCATTCATTGTTTGTAGGAGCTGCAGATGGGTGTGAAACTTCGAAGTAGGATCCGCATATTGCTTATTTACAAACCTTTTGTTGTGTAGTTCCTTAGCAAAAATGCTGCTCCCTCAACATGTTTCTACTTCATCGTAAAAACATTTATTATGTCAGGTGGTTTTGGGTGTGTCCTCACCTTACCTGGTGGGAACTTTCTGGCATTGAACTTGTAACAAATTTTCTGTTAGACTAGTTTAAATTTATGCAGTAGATACATTTGTGATTAAGAAGAATTGCACAAAATGTCAAATTTCAGTAGCTTTTACAATACTTTGATTACCTAGCAATCCCCATAGACTGTTGTGATGCAATGTTTGATGGGATTGTATATTCTTTGTGGTATAGATCCATGCTTGAATTTTTGAATTATCAGCCATTTACATTTTTTCAGTTTTGCTTGTTTAGGAGTAAATTTAATATAGATGAAATGCTACTATAAGGTTTGGTGTTGGTAAGTGCACTTTAAAATGTTTAATTTGGTTTCTTTTCTTTGCCAATCCAACTGTTCCCAAATTATTGCACAGAAATTTTCCTCCACCGCTTTCTGGTCTCGTTTCAATTAAAATTGTAGCTTAAGGTTCTGGTTCATTTGACGGCGTCTTGAAAGGGCACGTTGCAGCCATTCTGGCTTTTCCGTTTCAGGTCACATTCGCTCTCTGCCTGCATCGATTCAGTTGCTGCACACGCAAGCTTGTGCAACTTGAGAAGCGCTCTCCCAAATGTAATGTTGTGGGACTTGTTTGATATGTGATAATCATGGATCAGCTTTGTCTGCAGGCGTTAAAGAACAAGGGCTCAGATGTCCTTTAGTAAGGCTTCTTATGTTGAACATCAGTAATGCTAATAGACATGGTGTCTGCTGTGTTGATTCTGTTAGCGGCTCACACCAGCAGGGTGTTGCCATATTGTATGCGCTGTTTGTTCTTGTTATAGCTCTGTAGTGAGACTCGTTAGTTCTGGAACCTGGCCTGACAGCCCAACACTTGTGTGTGAGTATTTAGTGTGTGTTATGTTGCAAGCTGTTAGAGCTCTGGAAAGCAGTAGTAGCATATATGAATGTGGTTCCATAACAGAAGTAAAGCAAAGAATAGCACCATAGGCACAAACACTTGTGTCTTTTATAGCCTTCTTAAAAACTTTAGTTTTAACTGTTTGCCTGCTTCTCTATTTTTGCAGTCTGCACTTTAAAAACCACTTACTCCTCTTCAGTTGCTTTTTAGTTGGATGGCTTGCGCTTTGAATCCCAAAAAGTTTTTGTTTGGTCACAGTCCACCACTCAAAACTGCAGTGAACACCATAGACCTTGTACTGCAGATGTCTTCAAGGAAACCTATTATGCAGAATTCACATTTGCCATGTTTTTGTACTTCCATTTGGACCTTTATCATTTCTAAAAACAGGCCAAGCTCTTAAAAAGTAAAAAAACAAAACATAAAAAACAAAACATCTAGCAAATTTTTTAGCAATAAATTAATGTTTTTTGGTGTCTTGAAAATGACCCATTTTAAAAAAAAACCTTCAGCTGTAATGTCACAAATCAGTAGGCACTGCCCCTCACCTAGCAAACCCCGCCGGTTACCTAGCAACCCCAACAAATCTCAGCCTGTTGCCTACCAACCCAAGCTTAGCTCCAACACATTTGGTCAGCTGGTTTTACTGTTGTACAATGGCTGTTGGAAAAGACAAGTGGTGTGTTTGTTGACTTATTCAGAAACCACTTCCTACATTCTTGTTGGTTGTGCAGGAGGCTCTTCTGCTTTTTCAAAGATGCATGGTTATATAATTGTGTAACTGCTTGCAGCCATTTTCACGTGTGAGTGTAAATGTTGACTTGGGGGGGCGTGGTCAGCTGCTGCTTTTTTGGATTTTAAAGTGACAAGACGCCGTACAACATTCGGAAAGGATCTCAAAATGTGCAGAGCTGACCAAACTGAAATCTCATTATTCAAGAAAGATTTTGTGCAAAATAAAAATGCAATGATTTATGTCACTAATAATAGACCTATCCTAACATGTTCAAGGAAACAATAGGTCACCATTAATGTCTTGGGCAGTCTTTCATTGAACTCTTTGGTGTTTCATAACTGAACTTGTTCCTCCTACAACGGCAGTAGGAAATGAGTCCAGTCTAATTTCCTTCAGGCCAGGGAGGGCTGTGTGAAATGGTCGGTTTTGAAGTCTGCAGCTGTGTCTGCAGGCACATATAGAGTCATCCACCTGTATCCACGGAGAATAATGGCTGACGGGCTCTGTATTTAACCCTGCATTACTGCCTTGCGTCCAGTGGTTGCTGGGAAACGAGCGTTTCCCCTGTGGTCACCACAGCAGAGGTTGCTATTTGTGGAACTGTTGCTCAGCTGCTGTATTCCCGTCTGAAAGTTTGTTTTCACACACCAGTTTACACGACACCTGCACTGCAGGACTACGAGTCTCACAAATTTAACAGTTGGATGTAGTCAAAACTGTAATTGTTTGCAATTTCTTGGAAACCATGTAGAATGTAACGCTGTTTAAAATAAATGTGCAGAGATAACTCTCCGTGTGTATGTGTAAAAGCACATTTTTTTGATGGAAATGTACTCTTTGCACTAATATTTCATTTGTACATTAGAGAAAGATGAATGAAATGAATGTGCTAGCCTTGGTAGTGTTTAAAGTTTTGAAGTTGCGTTCAAATTTGTTTTGTCTGATGATCATAATTTATGTACTCTAAATAAAATAAAAAAACAATGCAAATTGAGATTTGTGTAGTTTTTGTCCCAAAAAAGTGGAATTTGATGTCTGTATAAAAATAGGAATGGAAAATGATGTGGAAAAAATATTTTGTATAGCATGGATTTATTCCCTGTCGAGATGTACAGAAGGTTGTTCTAGCTTTCCTTCACTCCTTGCTTCCTTTCTTCTTTCCTTGTTTGAAATGTTTACTGTCTTTCTTCCTACCTTGCCTGCTTCATTTAATTTTTTTCTCACTTCTTTCCCCCTTTACTGGGTCATTTTCTTTTTTGCTTCCTTACACCCTCCCTCTTTCAAATTTCAAGTTTCACCACTGCCATGCCTTTTTACGTCATATTCAGATTCAACTATAATAGTGATGAAAGGATTGGAAACATCAACCAGTTGAATCTGGTGAAGTGTAAAGTTTAGAGATGAAACCATGTTTGACATGTTGTTTTTCCTGACTCTACAGGTTCTAATCATTTTTCTGCTTTGATAAGTGATAAAAGTGATAAGTGTTGGAAACCTGTAGGTTTGCATTTCTCTCTATTTGTTGCTGATGAGTTTTCTGCTTCTCTGTTCCTGCAGAGCTCCAGAGATTATTTTGGGCCTGCCATTTTGTGAAGCCATTGACATGTGGTCGCTTGGCTGCGTTATCGCTGAACTCTTTTTGGGCTGGCCTCTTTATCCCGGAGCGCTGGAATACGACCAGGTAACACCTCCGCACAAGAACACACACATACAAAATCAGAGGGGAGATGAGGGAGACCCTTATAGTGTTTATTTGTTCAGGGTATTTCTCGCTCTGTGTGACTGAAGTTTAACACACTAAACAAAATATTCCTCTGCAGATCAACTGGGCAGAGCAAATCAGGAAATTGTCCTTGCAGTGTGTGATTATCTTCCCATAAAGGGGATAATGTGTGGTCTAAACTGCACAACTGGGACTCGAACTGAATCCCCAGGCAAGGGACCGGGAGCATGGGAAAAGGCCCCTGTTACATTCACAGAAGGGAACTGTCTCATCATCATGTGTTTAGCCATACACAACTCAGAAGATTTAGGATTATTACAGGCCTAATCAAAGAGTGTAATAACAAACTTAGACACCTGTTTGGTTGCTTTAAATCTAGAAAACAAGCCCATGTTCAGAAGCTCAGCTGATGTGTGAAATGCAATGTTTGTTCTGGACCTTTCGTTTATTGATGTTTCCAGTGCGTGTTATTTCCTCTACCCGTTTGACTGGTAACCAGTCAGAGATGGTGGCCTCGCCGAGCCTTGAAACAGGCCATGTCAGGACACACTCTTGCACGCCCACACGAGCACACTGAGCCCCCAAAAGCACGCCGTTCTATGCCAAGGCTCACTGTGGTTCCACTCTACACAGCAAAATGTATTTATAAACATAAGCCCGATGGTAGACGTGTGCACATTCGTGTACGCGCACACACATGCTAGCACGTGCACACACTCTGGTTCCCGTTCAGTGCATCATCAGCAGGTTCTCAGTCCAGTGCTCCCTGGTCAGTCTTTGTGTTTGTTCTAGGCTGTAGACATGTGCAAGTTCTCTCTCTCTCACACACACGCGCACACACACACACACACACACACCATGAAACCTCATTTCAGCTATTCTGTAATAATTTTATTGTGAGGTTTATGAAAACTTATGAAATCCAGAAATGTTATTGAATATTCAATTAGATTTCTAAAATGTTATCAAGAATCTTTGATACCTATAAAATGTGTTAGTTATAAAACACAGAACAGACCTTATTACTCCAAACTCTAGATCACAAAGCACAACATGAATTAAAACTCTGAGATTTTATTTATTTATTAGATATTTCTAAAAACAGACAAGTTGCTCAAATGATAACCAACTAATAAAAATATATTTCATTTTAGTCTGTCAGCTTTAAGTTGTAGGTAGGCTATGTTTTGTTCTGTTTTTTATCAGTGCCGTCTCTGGGTTGTTTTTGAAGATACTGGGGAAAATAAAATCTCTTTTACAAGTCACTCATGGTTTTTGTTCTATACCAGCCTTTTAACCTCACTGTGAAAGCAAGATGTCTGTACTTTCTTACTGGATCTATTGATCAAAATGGCAGAGGAAACCCACAAGTTTTGATCGTGCTGCTTAAATTCTCCTCGTTTGGTTACTTTCAGTTACATTTTCAGGAGGAACAAAGTTTTAAATACGTCTTAGTTTACCACTTACAACTTAATTTGTATTAATTTCTTGGTTTCAAGCAACTCAGAGGTGGATTGAAATTAGTTTCAAGCCACCTCTGAAGACCAGGCATATCTTGTGTGCTTGGTTTTCTTTCTTACTTGGCACCTTTACCTTGCTCAAAATGTTTGTCTGAGCATTGGTAAGTTTGAAACGCAAGAAATTCTAGTAAGAGAAATGGTATGAGGTTAGACTTTTACTACCAATTTACCAGAGATTGAAATTGTCCAGCAAGTCGAAACCAATCTTCATTAAATCGCCTGCATGCCATCTTTTTCAGTCTGCAAACACATCAATCACGTGCATGGATTTTGATTCGAGTTGTGTTGAATTGATTAAAGTTCAGAAAAGGGTGGCATCTGCTTTGGTGCATAGATTAGGATACAGTTGTAATCTGATTTATTATGATGGCTTTAAAACTGCTACATCTTTTTAAAGAAATCCTGCAGCACACGCCTCAGTAGTAGAGCAGGTGCACCGTATGCTCAGGCTATTTTGTTAAAATCCTTAGACTTCAAAGGAAACTGCAAATCGCTATTGGCTGATCAGTGCACTGCTTTTATTTTCTATTTAGTTGTCAACATGGTGAGAAAGGCACTAATGTGATCTTGAACTAACCATTTAGTTAGAGTAGCTATGAAGGCTTACCAGCTATTTCAATTTTTTGTGAGAGAATGATCACAGTCGACCTAAATGTGGAGTGAGGCATAAAATTTCCAATCAGAAAAGTAAAGATATGTTAAGCAAAATGTTGCATGTTTACTGGTTTTGTACTCTTATCTCGGACATCTATGAGAGTTGTGGAGGTTTGTCTTTTAGAAATGACTGTATGGGGTGCAGTGATGGCGCAGGGGTAAAATACAACCCACGTATGGAGGTCTTAGTCCTCGACACGGACGTCACAGGTTCAAGTCCTGGCCTGATGACCTTTGCCACGTCTTCCCCCTCTCTCATTACCCACTTTCCTGTCTAACCACTTGCAAATAAAGACTGCCCAAGCCAAAAAAAAAAAAACTTTAAAAAAATGACTGACGCATTACATTATCAGAGTGGAACTAATATGATTCAGTGACTCAAATTCAGGTTGATTATCTGAAAGTGTTCTGACGTTTTTTTTCTTTATTTTTTTTTTCTTTGCTTTTCTCCTTTTCTCACCATCTCTTCCTCTCCTTTCTTTCTGCGCTCCATTTCCTCTGTGTCGCTCTGCTCAGATCCGGTACATCTCTCAGACGCAGGGACTGCCTGCAGAGCAGCTGCTCAACAAGGGGACAAAGACCACGCGTTTCTTCACCAAAGAATCGGACTCTCCCTACGCCTCCTGGAGACTAAAGGTTTGTGGTTCACATTGCACAAATAAGCACAAACACACCATTATTAAAACTTTCTGGTGCTATAGGAGCTCATCAGGATGGGTATCAGAGAAGAGTAAAATTTGAAGAGGATATTTACTAGAAATTCTTCAGTCTACCAGTAGGAAACAAGTTGCATGAGCTTGTCAAAACAGGACAGAGCCAGAACAGCCTGCGGAAAGCTCACCAAAGCACAAAACTATGTTGAGACTGTGCTGAACTTCCTTTGTATCAAGTTGAAGTGAATTTCAGCTTATCTCTGTCTATGTCAACTAAAGACCCAGTACAAACCCTTTGATTAAGCAGATCTACATGCAGATGCTGAGTGTGAAACATTATCCGACATTCTGAAGAATTTGACTTGTCACTGCTCACCAGTGATGCTGATCATGTGTCTTTCAAAATTTTGCAAAAATACCGTTATATAATCTTCACTTGTGCTTATTTACACTTGTGTGAAAATAGCTTACAGGGAAAAAAAACCCCTCACTAATGTAAATAAAAATTCTCACATGCTACACTTCATAACCCTGAGGTCATTGACCTTTATGTCCGGCACTTTTTCTACAGACGACAGAGGAACATGAGAAGGAGACGGGACTTAAGTCCAAAGAGGCCAGGAAATACATCTTCAGTTGTCTGGATGACATAGCACATGTAAGTCCAACAAGACCGAGCTACAAAGTGGTGAATCTACTCTGAAAAAAAAAACAAAAAAAACAACTAATTTTAAGATGTAGATTAAAATCAAATAATTTTTGATAGCAAAATGTTTTCCTTTCACACCCAAGGTTAACTTGGTGTTGAGTCCTGATACCAGCGACATGCAGGCAGAGAAGGCAGACAGGCGGGAGTTTGTGTCTCTTCTTAAGACCATGCTACTGATCGACGCCGAGGACAGGACGGTTCCATCGAGCGTCCTAAATCACCCATTCCTCACCATGACTCATCTACTGGATTACCCCCACAGCAACCAGTAAGGAGATTTATCTGCTAGCACAGCCTGTAATTCCTTGCAAAAGTATTTTACTGTTGGACTCTCCTTATTTCTCAAGTCTTAACCACAAACATTCGTGTTACTGGAATTTTTGTGATAAACCCAAATACACAATCCCAATGATTAAACATGGCAGTGGCAGCAGTATGCTGTGGTGACTTCTGTTTTTTATAATTCATAACAGGGAACCTATTAAGGCTGACTGAAAATTCTCATCTCTGTATAAGCAAAGCTGGCAGAGACCATGATTATCACAATAGTAAAACTGTATATCAGAGCATAATTTTTTAGAAGGCACGTGGTTCTTTCTGGTTGAGAGCAAAAAAATAATTTATTACAATATTTGAACCTCCTTAGATAGAAACTGAGGAGTATGGGAGAATTCAGTCATAATTTATGAAAATGTATGATTTAATAACATCACATCCCTGCTTGGCAAAACGGGACACAAGATAAGGCTTAGTGTAAGACTTGATCCTAAAATAAATTGTGTTTCAAAACAAACATGAATCTGGAGCATATTTTTTTTATGACTGTGCAAACAAGGATTTGGTTTATAGAAATGTGCTTAGCAGCCTTGCACAATTCCTGTGTTTCTGGTAATAATTTTTGTAGTGATCAACGACAGCAGCAGGGTGGGTTGTACGGGTTCGTTTTGTTGCTTCACTGTTTAGTAGCTGTCTTGGCCTTCAGCTGATTAACATTTTCCTGCATCAAGTTGTACTGCAGTAGAGTAGAGCAAACTGGGATTTGAAACTTTGCAGCTAGGAAGCGTCTCGACTGAGCTCAGACCGACAGAACAGTTCTGTATGAGAAGCACTATTTGTACAGTTAACGTTAGATTATGTTGACCAGGAGATTTACCACTTCACTGTTGCAGATAAAAAGAACTTCAGATATTTTTAACTTCTTCTCAACCATAAGTGCCGTAGCCTTGGTGCAGCTAGCATACAGCTTCTGCTGGCATTTTTTAGTGAAAGTCCCTTTGAGCAAGACTTTTGCTGTGAATGTATGTTTCCTTTAACCTCCTTGTTTTCTCACAGTGTTCAGTCGTCTTTCCGCATCATGGACATGTGCCACAACCGTCCCAGCACCGCCGTTTTTGATGCTTTGAACCAGAACACGATTCATCTGTCAAGACCCCCTCTAGCTCCCACTGGAACTTCTGGCCTTCCACTGGGCTACAGCACAATTCAGGTACAGGTCCTACCCAGAAATAGTAACATTATGTGTGTTTAATGGTTTGATATGTCTTGTAGATTAAAGGCTTCATGTGTCACTATGGTTTATGAGCATAAGAATTGGTGAACCATATCAGTATGGTTATAGTGTTTGTTTCATTATTCAAAAGTTGATTCCTGTTCTTCCTCTTCTTCCATGTAAACTTATCCAATCCAGTCTATAACCCAATCCGCTCCATCCGTGTTGCATCCTGGGATAGCGCTAACAGGAAACGGGCAGTTTGGGTGCAGTGAGTCCTTCCCTCCTGCCCTCCTCCTCTGTCCTCCCACAATGCAAGGTTTGTACACTGCAGGTTTCTTTCTACAGTGACTGCTTGCTGCTTTTGAAATTTGATTAATCAGAAAAAAGGCTGGAAATGTTAAAATATTTATGTTCTTTTCAAAGGTAACCTTAATCAGCCTGCAACCTATTCTGTCCCCATGGTAACTCAAGCCCCTCCCATACAACCTCTACCAGTGAGACCCGGAGTAATAGCTCAGGTAAGATAAAGACTCAACCAGAAGTTGTTGAGCTCAAACCTTGAGATCATGTTGGCATTCCGGACCCAGAGTTCTAAATTTCATTCTATGAATAAAGTTTATTTGATGTCTGTTATCTTTCCTACTGGTAGTTTTTCGTGTTGCAGTTTGCCATATTACTCTCATGCAACATGTAACTGAACTGGGTGGGTGTTTGTTGCTGGTAACTTCCAACTTCAGACTGTGGCAGTAAAGTAAATTATGAGGGCTTTCTAACATCCTTGTGAATAGGGACTGTAAATATGTCAGCCATACTTTAAGGTCATGCAAATATTTCAAGAGTTTATTAATCTGCAAACTTGACTCAGTAGAAGTCTCCCCCCCACCCCCCGTCTCCTCTCTGCAGCAGGCCTGGTCTAGCCGAGGCCAGCAGCTCCTTGTCCCTACAGCGTGGCAGCAAATGACTCCTGTCGGGCCTCCACCCTCTCACCCGCCTCCACCACCTCCTCCCTCCCTCACCAGTGACACCACGGCTGGACCACAGAGGATAAGCGACTGGGGGTGAGTCACAAAAATCTGAGTCATCAAAGTTTTTAAGTTTGGGAAAATCCCTGCTTGTAAAAAATGCCACTGGAAGGAAATTTATTTGTATTTTTAACCAAATTATTTCAAAATCTTGCCAGTTTCATTTGAGTTGAGACTTTCTTTTACCCATTCATTGGTGCACCAGATCATTGAGAATAATGTGTCGGATCTCCCCGAGGGTGGTGAGCTCACCTCCTAATGATACCGTTGGCAAAGTTTTTATTTCCCTTGTTTCAGGAAAGCACACCCACACAACAGCCACTACAACACAGTGATGCAGCAACCGCTCCTGACCAACCAGATGCCAGCCCTCTCTGCACATCAGCCAATCAACATTGGCATAGCTCACGTTGTGTGGCCCCAACCAGCCAATAAACGGAACAGACAAGGGCACAACCGGTAAGGTTCCGATTCTGTGTCATGTATTCAACTATACGCCACTCCAACATACGTTTTTAACTTGATGTATTAAATATTTTGCATAAAAGGAACCTGTCCCACCCCAGCAACATCCACATTTCATCATGTCGGTCTCCCAAAATGACTGACATTGTCGGGCAGGCAGTGTCAGGAAGAGGGCAGCCACAAAAGGAGGCGCCCCTGGTGGAATCCCAGCGACCAGAAATGAAAAAACCAACTGTGGAACAAGATGGCACAGAGCTGAAGGAAAACTGCTTTAAAGAGGCGATGGCAAGTGGAAACAGACGGGTCGGTGTTCCGAGGGAGCCGATACGGGATGTGGCCGTCCTGATGGCCGACACGCCAAGTCCAGCTCCCAGCGTGATCAGCATCCGCAGTGATCTGAGTGACGAAGAAGATCGGGTGGGAAACGAAGGTCGTCAGGAGTGCCATCTGAATCAGTGAGTATAAATATCACAAAAGAAGCTGTTAAATTTTCGTGACATTTGAGCTATATTTTCATGTGAAATAAAACCCTAATATTCCACCAACAGGTGTAAAGGAGAGTGTGGATGTGAGGCTTGCAGAAACACCAGTGTGTCCATGGAGAGAGTGTGTTCTCTCAGCAGCCCCGACAGCAGCCTCAGCACCAGCTCGTTTGCCTCAAACTCTCTGCAGTCCAGCCCTTCAGCTTCACCGTGCAAGAGACCCAACAGGTAGCGCTTTGATGGGATTAGCCCCGATGACCCACAGACCAAAAAAGAATTGCTAACACCCTCCCCTTGTCTGGGGGTAAACATTAGTCAATATTTTTTAAAACCGTTTTAGACGTCTCGGCACAAAATCATTTCGCGTACCGAGGCTGCCACGCCTCTCAAAACGGTGGATATGCAGATGTACTATTTCTACTTGGCTCTTTATGAGATAACCAAAGTTGTAGTTTTCTAGATTTGGTTTGCGTTGTCAACATGCTCCTCAAATCTCTCTGTTCAGCATGTCTGAGGACGACGGCCACGAAAGCGGTTGTGACACGGTGGAAGGCTCGCCCTCTTCGGACACATCGACATCCCAGCGTGGCAACAACGCCTACCGTTACCTTAACAACAACAACCGCTCTCCTTTAGCTGCCGTGTTGGCACCCCTGACCTCCCCATCCGAGCAGGACCGGAGACCACGGGGCATCAGGACCATGGTAGTTCCACCGATGAGGGTCCAGACCAACAACAACACTCGCAACACGCAGGAGCGTGTCCAAAGAACAGGTCTGTGGAATAATATTTGTTTATTTGTTGATTAGTTTGCTGTGAAAATGTTAGTGATCTAACCCACCCAGAAACATGCTTTCTTTTTAACCACAAACGTTCCTCCTTCTCACCATCTGCCATGTGGTGTCACCTGTGCTTTGGCTGCATCTCCTTTGCAGGTCAAATGGAAGACGTAGGGTCTTACCGCCCCCTAGTGGGTCATAGAGGCTATAACAGGTGATCGAGAGACACCAGCAGAGATTTTAAGCTTATAGCCCCTTCACCTCATGGGTGCATCCATGGAAGGCAAGCAGCTGGCATTGCCTTTCTTAATGATTTCCCCTCTAATAAATATTGAGCTGTGTTCAGTACAAGACTTTAAGAATCATTTAAAATCCTTAATGTTGCAATTCTCACTTGCAATTGTCTACTTAGTTAAATAGGAGGAGAAAATGAGGAGTTTGTTCTGAGAAGACTGGCAAATATTTTCTGAAACAGTTCAGTCTCTGTGAGGGGAAAGGTGGATGCAGTTCATCCGGAGATGGGCTAAATCGGTTTTTCTTGTCTCTGCTGGTTCTCGTTTTGCAGCAGCAAATGTTTCAGAGGACACTGATGTGAGATCAGTTTCTACCTTTCTGTTCTTGCCAGATTGTTGGTTGTAATCACTGAAGGTTTTAAACTGATACAGATCAGAGTCCGTGGACTAAGTTGCTTTTCATGTGATCCCCCTTTCTGAGTGTCAATAATATATTTTTGTTTCCAAGGCTCTTTAAGTTCTTCCTGTTTACTTTTGAGATGCAGTGTTTGTTTTTGGATTCACAAAGTTTTAATCATTCTTTGATCTAAACAGAAGTCGAATATCAGGCTGAATTTTCACACTTTTCAGTACACCAAGGACACTGCCGTGTATTATTGTAGTTCTACTCAAAAACTCCTTTCTGGGTGATAACTGAATTTTTTTTCTATCAGTCATTTTAGTCTGATGTAGAGATGCACCAATCTGGCCGACACTGATATCTAGTTTTCTTCAAGGTCTTTCTATTCCACACTCCAGTAAAAGTCAACAGAAACAAGGAATTACAAGGTCATCCTAATTTGTTTGATTCTTGAGTAGCAAGCAAAATTACTCAGTTTTCTGCCTAAAACTCCTTGATTAGTTGATTAAGTAAAAATGTGCAGAATCCACTGTTTAGTCGATATGACTGGTGCACTTCTAGTCCTATTACCGTCTCTTTTCCAGATTGTTGTTTATTTCCTCCTTTTGTATGTTTTATTGCCGGATCAAGATTTACCTCCTTGTTTCCGTTCAGCCTCAGAATCCTGGTCCCGATCCAAAGGGCGCTGCAGTCTCGTAGGGCAACAGAGCACTGCCTCTTCCGTCCCTCTCCTGCCATCCGCCCCCATCCTGCCGCGGCAGCAGACGTTGACAGGGCAGCAGCACCATCTGGGCTTTGGTCAGGTTAGTTCAGGTTACCTCCCTTCCTGTGTCTGAGGCAGTTTTACCAGTAAAAGTAAGTTCAAAGTGAGGAAAAAAAATAGAAGTTACTCAGACCACCCAAGGTAAATTCAGGATGTCTGATAAAGCTGAGTTGGAAACGTTGGGAGGAAAATTTACATATTAACTTTCACCTGAGTGAAAAATTTGAAGTTTGATTTGAAGAAGATGGGAGGCTAAGTCCATGCACATCAGATGTAGTAGCCAATCTTGATGCTTTCGAAGCAGTACTGTTGCTGTTTTTTGATGCTTTTCCACTGTTCATCGTTTTTGTTTTGCGTCTTTCCGACAGGTGCAGCCGTACGGTTCAAACCACAGCAACAAGGAATGGAACGGCAACTATGGGCCCCTGCGACCGCACGCCTACATCCCTCCTACTGTCCACACACACACCTTCACACATCTGCACCACAACAGCCCCACACACACCTCGGCTGCCCCTCACACCCTGCTCTCCTACCCCTCCAGCGGGCCTCTCACCGCCACCCATCACCCCATCCTGCCCTCTCGTCCCCCACCCCCTCTCCTCCAGCACGGCTTTGGGCTTTCCCATCCCCAAGGCGGGGCGCTGGTCCACCAGGTCGCCCTGGGCATTGGCACGCACCCCCACCACCCCGGACACCCTGCCGCGTCGCACCGGCTCCTCCCCTCCCCAACCATCAACCCTCACCACCAGCCCGGCTACACCCACCACCCGCACCAGTTCAAGCCGCCTTTCCCCCCTCCTCCCCCGTACATGGCCTCCCCGGCCGCCTTCACAAGTTTCCACCTGAGCCCCACCAAGCTCAGCCACCACCCACAGTTCTCGTACATCTGAGGGGCGGGACGGAGGAGCCGCGCCTAACCCTGAACAGGAGGCTCAAGGAGAAATGGACTGGGTCTGCAACCTGGGCAGGGAGACCTCCCACCAGAACACAACATGAACACTTCTGTTGAGACAGAGAAGAATGGAGGAAAACAAGCAATGTTTTATCACCATGGATGGATTTGAAAAATTATTTTACCAATGTTTTCTGTAATCTGATGGGTTGACTTGACAGGCTGTTGATCATGTCTGACTGTCGAAGCAGAGACTGCCTGGAAAAATCATGTCAGGATGTGGAGGAAGCTTCAAATCTTTGTAAGAGCGAATGAATTTCTATGACAATTAGGAAGCTTCCCTCAATAACGTGTTTGTACATTACCTCCTGTCATCGATCTGAACTGATTCGAAGCTGGAAAATCATGGGTTTCTGTTTTTTGTTTTGTGTTCTACGCCGTTGGGGTTGTTCAGCCTCTCGCTCCCTTTATCTGTGTTGCCTTGCAACCCGCACACGCCGCTCTGATCTGCTCGTTACCTGGTCGCGAACCTGGAATCGAAGGCTCATGATGGCTGCCTTCTAGTGCCTTAAAACCTTTGAGTCTTTGACGTTACTTCAGGAGCATTTAGATTGTACGTTTTGAATTTAAACGGACTTGCAGCACTTAACCTAGGGACTCTGAACGAGACGGGCTTCTAAAAACCGACGAGGATCACGTGCACGGGCTTGTTTTACTTTACGCTTTCTAACTCCATGTGGGTTCAATCTAACTAGAGGCTGCACTTATAGGGCTCTGACTGAATTAGCTTTTAATGTATATGAAGAGTGATTTGATATTTTGATAATCGATTTCTATTCACTATAGTACTTAATTCATAACAGTATTGTCACTGTTTACTGTAACTGCAATACAATCTAGATCTTCTGGGTTGCTGTGTTTTTATTATCTTGCGTTTAGGCTAGATTTGCATTCATGCGTTTTAGATTTTGGGAGTGGCATAGACTTGTTTAATGTTTTTAACTTTTAAGATAATTCTCAGTGTTTGAAGTAACCTATCAACTTAACAGTATCACTGCTGGGCTTTTGAGTATTAGTCGTATCAGTAATTATTGTTGGAGATTTTGTGCCCCCTCCCCCACGTATTGAAACCTGTTGTCAGTTTTCATACATTCCTTCAGGGTGGAAGCGAAGCCTTGATTATTATTATTATTATTATTTTTATTTTTTTCTGTGTGTGCATTTTCATTTGTGTCGTGTGAGTCGTTTTCTTCACCGCCGGCGTTTCACTCCGATCAACACCAAAGACTCTCTTCGTTAATCATTTCGGAAGCACGGTCGATCATATTTCTGTCACCTCCAGCATATACTGTTGCAGTCGTGGGCTTAATTTTTTTTTTTTTTTTTTTTTTTTTTTTTTTTGAATACATTGTGAAATCTCTATTTTAAAAATAAGAGGTTGAGGTTTTATTTTTCTGAGCTGTTTGCTAATTGTATTTGGAATGTATAGATAATAAGCTGCTATATACTGATTATGCGCCACTCGGTAGCTGTGAATTTAGAGGATTAATCTCTTTCTGGTCTGCAGTCTCTCCTTTGTTATTGTAGTTCGGACGACTAGATAAAACTAAAGTGGTTTTTCTTCTGATCATAGAGTGTATGAATGCTACTCCTTCATGCTAGTGCCTCTGTATATTGGCTTTGTTGTTTTGAAGTGTTTCTAAACTGCTGTATTGGAAGTTAAGTTTTTCTTTTGGTTGTATTTTTTTTATTCTGTTGCTTTTTGGTGTGTGAGTGTTTTGTGTGTATTTAGCATCAGTATTTCAAACGTAGGCTGGGTTCGCTTTGATTCTGTAACCAGTGTGATGTATTATCGTTTTTCCTTTCATCGACGCGGCTTTTATTTCCGTTATAGGACTGTATTTACAACTCTTCGTACTGTATCAACTTAGTGCCTTTTCCTCAACCAGTGGCAGACGGGTGACGTCTGATATCAAAGCGGGAATATTGTAGGCGTGCTCCTTCCTGGAGTCGAATCCGATTTTCGCATCATGAAATCCCCAAAGTTTGTTCTGTAGACGAAGATGAAAACAATCCTGCATTTTTCTTCTTCTTTTTTTTCATTTTTATTTAAAATTTTTACAGAATCCTAAGAAAATCCAAATCAGGGAATGTTTTACTCACCAAGAACACCGTGCAGCACTAAGACATGGGGGCTTGAGTAACATTCACAAATGCAAAGCTTTATCTCACACCATGAATGTATTTGTGGATGTCAAGAAATCAGTCTTTGGTTTGCAAGCTCAACATTTGTCTACATTTGGGGTGTTGATAGCACTTGTATGCAGCTATAACCATTGGTAAATGGTGTATGTTTGGTAATGGGTTTGGTTTTTTGTTTTTTAAATGCTTTATCCATCACTCATAATCAAAATGTAGGTCCAAAGTTTTCCCACCCTGATCTAATTATTACATTACAGTATAATGGTTTTGCTGTTATTTAGGTATTGGGTGTATTTTGTGTGCTTGTCAGCTATGCTACTGTTTGAGTATGTTTAAATGTTTAAATTTTTGTGTTGTGCACACCAAATGTTTTTTTTTTATTTTTTTTTAGATTTTATATATATTGTGGTGTGCAGCCTCTCTTTGCAAACCACCCTCCTCCCTGTGTGTCAGCTCTGCACAGGTAATGCCCCATGCTGTAATCCCACCCACCACCACTTTGGATTAATTGCTTTGAGTAGATGAATCTCACATCCTTGCAGATTTACGCCGACAGTTGCATCATCAAAGACGCCGGTCGGGGTTTTTGGGGGGGTGTTGCCACGCAGTCCCTGATCCAAAGCTTAGCAAAGCACATGGAACCCTGCTGCCTTCAGCAACACGGCAGACTTACAAACAATGTTAATACTCCTAAAAGCTTGTGGGGAGATTTCTTTTTTTAATTGGGCATTGTAATACACGCACTTGACGACATGTAATGATACAGAAATACTTGCTTACAAGCCTGCTTTCACTGGGCACCAGCATATTATTAAAAAAACACGCAAAAAAAACCCCACGCCATATCAATTGACATGTACCTGAACATCTCATTTGGTTTTTGAGTTTGAATCTGTTTGAAATTAAACTTTTAACATCGTTATCGTACTTAGGCACAAAAATGTAGACACAATTGCAAAATTTAAGAATTTAAGCTGTTACTGTTCTATATGTGTAGATTTCTGTGGCTTTATGATTTGTATTCCTTGATTTTTGTTTTTGTTAATTCTAAATGCTACTCTAGTGTGACTTGTAGCAACTGCACTGTGCAATATACAACAATATATGAGGACTGGGAAAATAATTGTTTGGATGTATTGATGTGTGTCTTACCAGTTTGCGGTCATCGCCCCCCCCCCTCCTCCTTCCCCTCTCTAGTTCTCAGTGAGTTTCAATGTGACCAAGCCTTATGTACTTTGTCACAAAAAGCGGGTTCCTTATTTGGTGACTCTTATTGGTGAGTGTCAAATTATGAATTTATTGTATAATATGGTGAGATTCACTTTGAATTAAAAAAAATCTTTTGCTTCAGTCACTGTTGTTCTTTTTGGTCATTATGAAGGAATGAAGCACCAAATACTTTCTGGATCAATTTGATGACTTGATCCAGAAAGCGTTGTAATGCAGCTGTTGGATGCATCCCTGATTCATCGCCGATTCAATGCATGATATACGTCCTTAGCACGTGATGAAGTTCTACAGCGTTCCAATAACGGACTTGGTTATTAGATTCGTGTCTGTTGAAGCAGTAACATCCTTAAAAGTTGCTGGACATCAGCTGTCAAAGAATGGAGTTCAACAAGAAGAAAAGATGGAAAGTGCACAAAGGTAATAGCTCTGTCGGTAAATGTCTGGGGAAGAAATTCAAAAGCACTGAGCCAGGAGAGTATTATAGAAAAAAGTAGTCTACAATTTAGGTGGAAGTGGCAGCTCTGTCCAGGAAAAAGCCAAACACATTAGCACTGAGCTGGGAGCAATTTTTTTTTTTTTTAAGAAAAGAAAAACATGACAAAATTAATTGCAACAGCTTTGTTAGGAAAGAAACAGAAGCACTGAGCCAAGAGTATGCTTTAAGGGAAAGAAAATATGAGTGTACACAATAATCTGTCCAACAGTATACATGTCGTAGATAAAAACAGGCAAGAAATAGTACACAAAGGTACTGGCAACTGTTGCTCCTTATTAAGAGACCTGTATTAACAAGAGACCTCAATGGTCTCTTTGGAACACATGCCATCTTCTCTATGGGAATAAAACCAGTACATAGAGAGAAGCACAAGAGCATCAAAATAAGGAAAGTGGGGGTCTCCATCTATGTTGCAATAGAGATGGCTTCAAACTTGAACCATTTAATTTTTAGTAAAAGGAAAAGTTTTAAGCCTACTCTTAAGAGCAGACAGGTGGTTCATCTTGACTGAAAGGTTTTTGTCACATAATCGACAGCCTACATTAAGGAATCGCACCAAATTTACTAAATAAACATGCTGTATTTCTGAATTTTGTGAAAAATAATCAACAAAAGATGTTTCACAGAAAAAAAAAAAATGTTTGAGCCCCCCTGAAATATCAACATTTAGAAATCAAAATGGTGTGATACTGATTTCTAGGAATGGCTGCAACTTTGTTCTGGGTCTGAAATTTCAGCTTGGACTTTTCTTTTAGAAGTTTTCATATGCCCTTTTTCTTTAGTGGGCTCTCCCACATTTGGGGTACACGCATTATTTTCTTATTACGTCATGAAAATGACAGGAAGAAATAGTCTGATATTTGCCTGTTTACAGGTATTGGTACATCTGTTAATTTTGTTGACTTTTTTTATCAGATAAAACTGACAATCGTATGGGGAAAAATGTTTTGGACAGTTCAACAACTTTTGAGAAAATATGTTAGCGTGTTTTCAGTTCACGGCAGCCGTTGATCGGCTGACTTGTTTTGCCGTCAGCCGCCAGCAGGGGGCGCCAACTCCCAATGAAAAAGATACTCTCGATTATAAAACGCTACGATTCCTCGCACCCTAGTCTTACTTCTGATGTCGAAATGATGGAGCAACCTCAACATATCAACAAAACTAACACCACACGTGAGTTAATTTATTTAATTTTATTACACCAAAAAGGCAGTCTATTTACAATCTGCCTGAAGCTGCGTTAAGTTGGTCACAAGCTAACCATCCGCCGGAAATGACCTTCAAAATTAACAGCAAATCAAAACTTTCTCTTTTTTCCACAAAAGAATCTTATTACATAATTACAAATTAGATTAAAACTTATTCGGTTTAATGCTAAACAGAAAATTCAGAGTAACGTGAATAGCAATTACTTTTTTTAAGCAAATGGCTGTGGTGAAAACTGGTTTTTCTCCACTGTATCTTTATTTATAAACCTTTTTACAGAGTACAGCTCAATCTGAAAGTATTTGTCAAGCACCTTCATACAATCAATTATAAAACAAAGTGTAAGACTTTAAAACAATGGGGTAACTACACAAACAGACGACTCCAAGGAAAGAAATAATTATTAAACTGTTAGAATAGCAGTAACTGTGAAAAGGCTATTTTAAATATGGAGAAAGATATGAACAATATGCAAATATTAAAATTCAGCAACGTTAAATAAGCAACTAACCACAGGACAAATAAACAGAGGTCCTGAAACACTGTTAGCTTATTAATGAAATCTAAAATGGAGGTTAAGTCATAGATTACAGAGATATAATGTTGAAAAATAAAACTGGAATAGAAACCAAGCAGGGATTGAATGTACTTAACATTTGATTGTTTTAAAAAAGTGATTTTAAAAAAATAGACAGAAGCCAGACTGAAAAAAACAACTTCTCTGAGAGTCAGGGTAGACCCTGGACAGTTCACCAGTCCATCACAGAGGAACACAGAAACACAAAGGACAAATAACTATACTCATATGGATCAGTTTAAGAGACCAGCTAACAGTCGTATTTTTGGACTGTGAGAGGAAGCTGGAGAGAACCCACTCATGCATGAGGAGTACATGTGAACTCCATGCAGACCCATGTGGGGTGCAACTAAGACTGTTCTGCTATGCAGCCCACCCAGTGAAATGCCCTAACCCAGATCTGAATACAAACTTCTCTGGTGCTACCCACTGCCATCTCCTGGATAAAAGGTCCCGGGGTGCATAGGTT